GCCCAGTCGTACTAAGTCTTTGTGTGACCCTGGTTCTGCCACCACCATCTGGAATGTGTAGCCCAGGCCTTTGCCACATTCATCAGAAATGCTTTGTATTTCAATTTTGAATCAGGGTTTAGATTTTTTTTTAGATTTTTTGTTGTTCCCGCAATGTTACTACACGCAATATTATTAACCACATTATCGTCGGAGCTACTGTCACTTTTACTGTCTGTGGCCACAACTCTTTGTTGTCCCCCATCACTGTCGCTGTCTGAATGACAATTAATCCATTACTATGCGTCCCACAAGGCAGGTCAGCTAGGTCATCGGAGGAGAATTTGTCTTTGATCCATTCTCCCCACTAGCTACTGGCTGACACACACAGCTTGAAGAAGGCAAAGCATTTTCCTTTATAGTCAGTTAAGTAAACAGCGAGGTCAAGTTACTGACTGCTAACTAAACATTCCAGTCTTATCACGCATCTGCAGGTGGTGCCAGAGCGATGTATAGTGTGTTGTAACTTATCGTGTTCTAAAAACCTGTTAACACGCAAATGGTCCGCCATGTATAAAAGCGAAAAACCTTTTAAAGGGTGCGCCGTCCGCAAAGTGTCAATAAAGATTTAAATATAAAAATCGACAAGGCAGGTTCTGGAATATCGGGTGTCGATTGACGACAGAGCAATGAACAATTGGAAATCTGGAGTTTAAATGTTAATATTGAGTGCAGTGTGACAGCTACGTGAAGTGAAATACACCTGATGATGGCTGGTTGCGGCCAAAACATATAGTGTAAAAGAAGGGACAAGAACTACAATAAAGTGTTACATTTATGACAGAGTTTATATTATACATATAGAAGTATGGAATGTAACAGTATGCTTAAATATAATATATTAAAATTCATAACAGAAACAGACATCATACATACTACTAAACTCACAACAAGCAAGTCTTAACAATGTATAATTCATGCACACAGACCATTTATTAACTCTTAACTTTTGAGCCACTTACATGCTTGACAAATTCCTGAATAGTAAAGTGTGTTACTTTGCAAATAATTTCGTAAAACAAACCTAAATTGCTTTTCATAATTTTTTAAAATTGTGATATTTGACGGCAGGGTGTTAAATAGCTTGACACCTGAATAATACACCCCTCCCTGATAGGATGATAAATGTGTTGAAGGTATGTGAACGTGGTCATTCCTTCTCATACCAATGACATATACAGAGTTATTGGTTTGAAGCTTATCCAGATTATTAACAACAAATGTCATCAATGAGAGCAAATACATATACACATGGGATTAATATTATGTCAAGCTTTTTAAATAGATCTCTGCATATATGAGTTGGGATCACTGTACTTCACTGGAACCCGATAGATACTATGTGCCAGAGATCAGCTGTAACCTCCTCCAACTGTCATCTCATTTGAAGTACCACATTATCAGGGATTAGAAGGAAAATGAAGGGCAGAACAGAAAGTACCACACAGTTTGATCTAGATGATCTATGCAGGAACCTCAGTCCAGAAGTAATGTGATCAATTGAAGACAAGCACAAAATCGGCTGAGCGGTGCTTGCTATATTAAAGCCTTACCTTAAGTTAATTTTGGCAGTGAATATGTTTTATTAAATTCTGTGCATTAAGCCCCCACTCCCCCCAAATGCAGGTATAATTAGGGTTTCTTGCTGTTTCCAGTAACATATATTATGAAACACATTTGTTAAACAGAGATACTTTGAGGCCGTGGGTGAAGTAGATCTAGAGCCAGAGCTGCATATTGATACATTGGACAAGAATTGGAATCGACTCATGATGGCTCACCAGGAACGAGACCATGCCATCCTTGAAGAAATCAAAAGGTGAGCAATAGATGACATAATACTGCAAGAAAACTTAATTTTACTTTTGCTTTCTTTTTTGTATAACTGTCACGTTCCATTCTTTGTTCTTAATGTCCTTGAATTTTGCTATATTTTAGTTAAATATCACTTCTGTTTCCAGCATGATTATAGTTTGTGTGCCAGGCTATTTCCTGACATTCATGTTGTGTTCAGTGAAACTTCTTTATACAAAATGTCTTATTTCCTGCATGTTCCCTATTCAGAACCACTGAGTGGATTTTGATTAAGTTTGGTATTGAAGGTTTACACTAATAACTTTTGAACAGATTTCATTTTGATTCATTTGATTATGATGCAATCCTAGGGGTATGTTATATGAAGCTCTAGTCAGATTTAGTAACAGCTTTAAAAAATGTCTCATGCAGAATATTTATATGTAACTGAAGTAAAGAAGACCCACTATTCATATTTGAGAATGTTTTGATATGATTTACTGTATATTGAAAATGAGATTGACAGAAAAGTTTATATGCCTACATTGTGTTACATGTAGTGTCCCTTTGCAACGCAGGATTTGTAGGTTTGTGTCTGTAATACAAGGCCAGTTGGGTATAGGGAATCACTAAGATTGCATTAAGAAAATATATCTAGTTCAAATCATTTGTATAATATTTGTAGAGAATGTGACTTCCAACCTGTTTGCCTAGGTACCCAACTCACTACTTAACTGTCTACTTACCTAACCTCCCAATTAACTCACAAACTTCATTGTGCAGGATTAATTCAAAACCTAAAACCTCTAACTGTGGAACCCTGTCCTGAAGAAATTCAGCCCAGTCCCCATTTCCACTTCTGTTATTTTCAAAGATGCATTTTGATATTATCCTCCCCATGTGCCAACATCCCTTTTGGTTTCCAAAATAATTTGTGTATTTTTTCCCGCACTGGATCTGGTCCTCAGGAAACTCAATCCAGTCTCCACCTTCACGCCATATGGTTCCTGAATATCTGTTTTGGTATTGTAACAGATTTGATCAATACATGGCCAGGCAACAGCTCTGTAAACAGGGTCCAGCACGCAACAATAGATGAGGCTGTGTTTTTTATGTCATCCACGCTGAGCAGCAGTGGAACAACAGGGTTATGCAACCCATCTCTAAGCAACGATTCAATACACACACTTGCACATAAGCAGTAACATCAGCAGCAATAGAGATGGTGTTTTCCATGTGGTGTGTACAGAGTACTTAGAAGAGAGATGAATGGAGTGAAATTACTACAGAAACATATTGAAGAAAGAGGCCTGCTCAACACAAGCCAGTTTGATTTTCATGCATATCACAGCACGACATTGCAATGTATGAGGCTGGTGGACCATGTGACCCTTAATTTCAACAACAAAATTTCTACAGCTGCGATGTTCTTGGACATTGAAAAAGCCTTTGATACCACGTGGCATTCAGGCTTGCTGTATAAGTTATCAGAATTGGAATTCTTGAACAGTTTGACCAAACTTTATTGGGTCCTTTCTTTCTCACCATAAATTCAAGGTTTCGGTTGAAGGCCAAATGTCAACCCCAAGGGAAATGCAAGCAGGGGTGCCACAAGGTTTCGTCCTTTCCCCTATCCTTTTTAATTTGTACACAAATGATGCCCCCCAAACACATGTTGTTCACATGGCCCTCTTTGTGGACGACACCTGTCTATGCAACAGATCGCAAGGAGGGTTTTATTGTTAGAAAACTCCAGCACGGTCTCAGCTCAATGGAAACCTGATGTGAGTGCTGGAATATTAAAATTAATGAAGATAAGACTGGGGGGGGGGTCTACTCTCGTAGTCGTCGACTGCCTGAGTCTAGTCTCACTCTAAATGGGCGAAATATTCCATTTGTAAATAGTGCAAAATATCTAGGTGTAATCTTCGATAAGAGAGTTACGTGGAGATTGCACATAGAAATGATCGAAGCCAAGGCCTTCAGAACATTCATTAGAGGATATTCCCTATTCAGAAACGAGCGATTGAGCGTTAACATTAAAATGACCCTCCACTAAGCTCTCATTAGATCTGTAATGACTTATGCTAGTCCTGCCTGGGAATTCGCGGCAGACACTCATCTAGTGAAATTGCAGCGCCTGCAAAACAAGGTTCTCTGCACAACAAAATTATGCAAGAAACAAGCAGCAATCATACAAAATCATGAAAATGAGAATGTTCACAACATTGGACAATGCGAAGCCTGACACAGAAAGTATAAGAGGCTTAAACTTGGCGGCGTTCAGGCATACTACCGTTGAAGTGACTAGACTGCCGTGGTAGCGAACACTGGTAGAAATAGGGCAAAATCTGCTGTACTGAGCCTGGATTGACAGAGGCCTTGTATATATTGTACATAGAAATAGGAATTAAGATTAAATTTGTAAATATATGTAAATACTGACAGTGGACTTACTTACACAGACTGTGACTGATAAATGACAGACCCGACCTGTCATCAGAGAGGGCGCCCCAAATCAACAAGACAGCCCCATTCGGGGCTCGACACCAAGACAGACAGACTGACGGACTGTCAGTCGCAATGTGACTTGGACTTTGACTTGGACTTGGACAGAATTAGTTCAAGGGCTGTTACGAGTCAGCCGTAAGTGGAGGACTGAGTCCAAAAGAATTTTTAGTTCTGAGGTTAGAGAGTGATTGAAGACGAAATGACAAGAAGACTTCATAGTGATTTTAAGTTCTAGTTTCTGTGTTGATATCCATTTCCAGGAGACAATTAGTGAAGACTGGGAATCCTAGTGCGTGTGCAGCAGTGATTGGAAAGTGTGCAAATCAGTAGTAGCGCTGTATTTAAGTGTGATTAAGAGAACTTATATCCAAGGCACTAATAAACCCAATCATCTGAACTGGAATCCGTTATTTTCGTCACGCGTACCTCCCTACATGTAACAATATTATTCTCCTATCTATGCCTATGTCTTCAATGTGACTACTTCCTTTCAGATATGCCCAAGAGATCATTGAAGGACTTGGTGAAAGGGTCAGTCATGGCCGACCCCTTATGCATTCATTCCTTTCAGGTTTTCGAACTAAAATCATATGCGTTTCATATTTTTCACATTTGTGCTGCATATCTTGCTCTTCTCATCTTCCATTACTTAAACATCCTAATAATGTATAGTGAAGTGTGTTATAAATGCTCCTGCAAGTGTAACGCAGTAGAAGGATACTGATGGTGTGCATAGAATAAGTTAGGAACAGAGGAAATGTTGGTATTTATATGGAAAGTTTTTCTTGTTGACATAATGCAGATTGAAGATAGGAGCTCTAAACACTCAAGATTCAGTATGTATGAGATGTGAGGACAGGCTGAGACATGTCTGGAAGTCCATTTCCATACTGGTTTTTCCTGTCGTGTGAGATTTACTGTGAAGGGTTAAAAGTACTAAGTGTTCAAAATCCCTGATATGAGGAAAGCCTTATGTCTTTTATAGATTGGAGCGTTTGCAACGCTTGGCAGAGAAAGTGCATCGTGAGATGAAGCAAGTGGACTCTCGATTGGAAGAATTGGAACAGCGGGTAGAGGACGAAGCTCGTCGGCTAGACCGTCTTCACCCACTTGATGCTAAGCACAATGTTGATCTTCTGGAACAAGACATCAGACTTACAGAGGAGAGTATCAACAGTTTGTTTGGAGATGTGCAGAGCCTCAGAGATGGACGCTACCCTCAGGCCCCTGAACTTCATAAGAGGTGAGTGAGATAAATTGAGTGTATTTCCTTTATCCTTTTGACTAGAATGTGGAACAAATGAATATACTATTAGGTTGCAGTTAATTCTTTTTCATTTTGAGTTTCCTGTATTTGGTACTTCATCCATGTTGCATGCAATGAGGTAGGATTAGATAGTATAGGGTTCTGACGATGGTGTATAACACACAGAGATACTGGGTTTTTGGACTTTGTCCATCATCCAGATCCTTCATGTGATTGATTAATTTTGAAGTTCTGATGTACGATTAATGGAAACTACTGTAATTATTTTGTGAATTTGCCATAAAGTTCTGTTCAGGCTATTGTGTATGAAGCCATGATAAGCTAATCAGTAAAGTGACAGACTACAAGCCAGTCTGCTCTTGTTCTATTCCTTGGAGTACTGAAAATTTTCTTTTTGTCACATGCACAATGGCTCTCACCCTTGTTATATTCTGTACAGTGGGAGATCACTTACCTTGAACTAAGGACAGCCTGAGCATTAGACTTTCATTCCATCTTGTCACAGCATTGATAATATGTGGGAATCTGCTTTCATGCCCACTGTCTGTCTTCATAGCATGGTGTAGGACCACAAGATATTTCCTGTCCTTCCATCCAGTTCCACTTCTAGGTAGTAGGTCCCTCTCGGTTTATGAACAATTGAGTTTGCAGTCAGGATGCTGTAATTTCCTCAGACATGCTGTATATTGTATGCATTTTATTTTTAAGAGTTCAGAAGCTGCACCAACGTTGGGTAGCACTTAGATCACTGCTGCACTCAAAACTGATCACACCACTTTCCTCCATATCATTTCCTGTGGAGGAACGAACAGTGACACGCCAGACACGTACTGTCCTGGAAACTCGACTGGTTGAGACGAACATTCATTTCCGTCAGCTTCAAGAATGTACTGAATGGTGTCGTAAAAAACTGGTGAGCAATTGCTTGGTTTCTGCTTGCATTCTTTTGCTCTGAATTTGACTGTTGATCGATATGTACATACCCAGTTGTACTGTTCTGTGTCAGTTAACTGTGATTATTTCCATTGCAACATCGCAGTGGGTTTACATCTCTTTGTACATTCCATCTTCTCAGATACTTTGAAAATTCATGGATCAGCAGTTATCCTTTTCCCTATGATTTATCAATGCTGTTTTGCAGACAGCTTAATGTGGTCAGTTCAGTTCCCCTGCAGTACTTTGTGTACGCTGTGTATAGAATATGTATAGGAAAAGGAGATCTAGGATGTCAGATGGAAAACAGAACCAGCCAGTACATGCTGCTGGAGAGAAGTTTCTGACCTTGTCAGGAATTGAACCCTGGTCATCCAGCCTGTATCCAGTAATGCTGCTGACTTATTCTGGATCTTTAACATTTCCTTATATTACTTGAATTATTTCACATTAGTGCTTGTAAGATTCTTGAAAGGTGTTTGCTGATGTAAAGAGTGCATTGTATGTTTTGAATTACTTTCTAGAAACAGTTTCAAGATGCAGAATATGGCTCTGATCTTCCTAGTGTTCAGAATGAACTGGACATCCATCAGAGAGAGCACAAGAATGTTGAACAGTTCCATATCAGAGTGGAACACTGTGAATCAGCCAAGGTGAGTTTACTCTCATTATTTCCCATCTGTTAGTGACAGATCATAATCGTCATGAGGAAGTTACTGGTACTGGTGTGCCAGTGGGAAATGCAGGCATATTGGATTAGTTTGTCTGTCAGCAGATTGTAAGGGGTATGCATGGAGGTTATTGTAAAAGAACTGTGGAATGTAGGTGTGATGTGCAGTATTGTGACATGGTAGCTGAAAGGCAGAATAGTGGAACAAAAAAGACAGCCATTGATAGGCAGTGGTGTGGTGAACACATCTCCACAGCAATAAATGAACACACAATAATGGAAGAACTGCTGAAGCAGTGTTTTCTGTGTGATCTGTGCCAAGGGTTATATAAGTTTCAATCAGTTTATTTTGTCTTGTGTTCTGGTGGTGAGACATCATGGGAACAAGGGAACAGCCAGCCGAACCCTCAGGAAGAACCAAGGACTAGAGATTGAGAATCGAATAGTTGGACCTCATACCAGCCTGAAGACAAAAATGAATTGGACCTTATGGAGGGGTCGACCCCCTACGAAACGGAAAAAGGGAAACGGCCCATATGGGAGGAACCGGTAATAGGAGTACCGGCCTCCCCAGAGAGAACGAATGCGGGACAAATGAAAGCGAAGAATGAATGTGAGACAAGGCGACCGACAAATTCTCGGCTACGGGAGTGCTCGGGGTGAGCACCACTGAAGAGAGGGGCGGATGCGGTTGGATGAAGAGCGCAGAAAGATGCCGGCAGAACACCGCGGATATGGAAGAGAGGAAGAACCTTTAGGCTGTTTGGGACGAACAACCTTTAGAAGGGAGCAATGTAACGTGTTTGGAATCCAGAAGAGTTACTTCCATGGAAACGCTAGAATAGGCCGTTGCCTAGGAAGTAAGAGTAGCGATACAGTAATTCTAACAGTGAGCATTGCATAGAGATGAGTTTCCACGGTTATAACAAAGGCTCGGTTGCATAGCAGCGACCGAGGTTATAAAACGGGGTTGAGTGCATTCGAACAGTGAGTCTGCCAATAACCACTGAAGAAGACAGTTTGGTATTAGCCTCCATAGAAGAAGCAAATCTGGAATTAGTCGCTGAAGGAGTCAGTCTGGATCCAACTGCTGAAGAAGACAGTCCAGTATTGCCGAGATATTGTAAGCAGTTATTGTAACACTGCAAGAACTAATGATTGTAAGGTGTGTAAGGTGAGCGAGTGGAATAAATTCGCTATATTAAATACTGCGGCATAAACTTGTTTGTTGCGTGACACACTCAAACACGTAACAATATATTTCATTTTCTCAGCATATACTTCCAGTCCAACATTCTTGCCAGCATAGCCACATGTGTTTATGGTATTTATATTTTTGTCACAGTAAGTTAATATCAGCATAATGTCTCAATTCTGTTTCCCTAATGAGAATGTTAAGAGATCATATCAACTCATATCCTTGTCTGAAACCATTCTGAATAAAAAATGCATCAAATGTGTGTGTATATGGTTTGTTTACACCAGATTCAATGTGAAGGCTATACATTACTTCTTGCCTGAGTCATACTGTCTTGAAGTCTGTAAATAGAGGCTCTGTTGTACTCCAACATTTTCATTAGTGTCTGAAGACTGCAATATATATATAAAAATCCACACTGATTGTCCCCAGTGATTCTTACTTCTCTGTAGGGAATTCTTCTTGAGAGAGAAATGTTGGATACAATTTTTATATGAATTTGTTAAGAATAATTTTCTTTGATAATTTTACAGTCACTTTTATCACTCTTTATAAACAGATATGATGATATGATTAAGTTTATCTGTCTCAGGAGTAAATTTCTTGACCAGCTGAGGAATTATCTACAAGTCTCTGCATGATGTAGTTAATTTTTTGTTACTCTCTCTTATAGAACAACTTCCATGGTGAAGAGCTTCAACTGTATACACAGCACCTCAGTCAGTTGCAGAAGGTGTACACTGAACTTCTTGTGACATCCAACAAACGCCTCTCAGACTTGGAAACATTGCAGGACTTCCTTCAGTCAGCAACCAATGAGCTTATCTGGCTTAACGAGAAAGAGGAAGTCGAAGTATCACGGGATTGGAGTGACAAGAACATCAACATCCCAGCCATTGAACAGTACTATGAGGTAAGACTGAGGTATTTTTGCCTGTCTCTGTTATGGAAGTCACCTTGTGTACTCAACGGAACATGGTAGTGTGTGCACACATTGTTAGGTTTCTCCACAGAGATGAGAGCTGATACGAATGTGTTGAATGATTTAGAACACATTTGCTGCCATTTTCTGCAGTGCTCAAAAGCGGTGTATTATGTCATGGCACATGGTTGAACATTCTGCTACTGATATATTTAAATCTGTAGAAAACTTTGGGTGAAGTATAGTGCAGTATAATCTATAATGAGATGAAGGAGATTCTTCTTGCCATTCCATTCATAACCTCTAATTGTCCTCTGTCCTATCCAAGAACCTGGGGAGACTCAACTATACATATTATTGATTATTTTATATGGCTTTGAAATTTAGGAATGTGGGTGAGGTTGTTTTAGAACAGTGCGCTTCGACTATGCAGACCAGAGAAGTTGAAAGTGACAGAAGAATGGAGAAAATCATGTAATGAGGAGCGTTATAACTCCTGCCCTTCATCTAATATTCTTAGGGTGATTGCAGCCACGGAGGGTGAGGTGGCTATATGTCATGCATGAGGGAGATGATTCATTGAATATTGTTAGCATGATTAAGCCAAGAATTTGGAAATGGCAGAGACATGTAGCACATGCCAAGAAAATGAAAAGATCATACAAATCTTTAGTCAAATAACCTCCAGAAAGAGGCCACTTTGGAGGCCTAGGGGTAAATAGATTGATAACGTTAAAATAGATCTTGGAGAAACAAGATGTGAAGGCGTGAACTAGATGCAACTGACTTAGGACAGATTTCACTTTCGTGGAAGTAGTAATGAATCTGTGTGTTCCATTAATGCAGGGAATTTATTAACAAACTTACCAACTATAATCTTTTCAAGAGAGTCTTGTACCATTGATTGACTGAGTGAGGATTATTGGTTAGTCTTGGCTGAAAATTTACTAGGGACTTTCATATTGATACTTGATTTCTAGAAACTCTTATGTTTAGCATTAAAGCAGATGAAGAATGTGCAATGAATATTATATATGTTGTTATTATTATACAGTAAAGAAGAAGTAACAGGTTATGAAACTAGGAAAATAACTTGAAAAGTTTAATGCATATTGACTGAGTTACTTATCTTAAGGGCTTATTTTTTAAAATAGGAATATGAGTTCATTCTTATTTATTGATTATTATGCAGGTTGTTAGTATTAGATTTATAGTGGACCATAGAATGTCAATATGAACATTGAAGAATAATGATTTTTATGTGTTAATCAGTGGATTGAATTTCATATGACATAAATTGTAGCGTTTCCAAATTTTAGTTTCAAGAAGTATATTAAGTTTCCTGCCAGGTTACTACACAATGAAATATATTGTATTAACTCTTTGACTGGCGCGGGCGTGTTTTAATGCCCGGACGATGCCAGCCGTTCCCTGGCATTGGCGTGTTTTAACGCTTTGACAATCTCGTCCCTTCTTTGCTCTCTTGGCACTCATCAACCAAAGACATATATATGATAGTTTTTGTGCATGTTTGTAAAGAACCCTTGTAAACTTTGTGGGGGTCTATATTACTGTCAGAACCCTCTGAGAAGGAAAAGGTCAGAAAATATTTCACATTCATTCAGTTTCACCATGGCTTCTTGCAGCAAGTGTCTTCGTGTTCCTACAGACCAGCTGGAAAATGTTGTGAACGAGATTTTTTCTGATGATTATAGTGGCGATGAAATAATGATTCCTGAATTGGATGAAGTTGATAGTGACAATAATACAGTGATAGGCAATGATCCACAAGACAGTAATCATGAACATTTACCTACCACGAGTGCGGTGCCTGACACGCCCATCTCATGAACGTACGGAGACATTGTACCCCCAATACTTCCATTTGCTAATAGTTTCGGGATCAAAATTGATATAACACATAAAATGCATCCCTTTTCATGGATTAAAATTTTTTCTGGATGACGACTTGGTAAATCACATCACAACTGAAACCAATCGCTATGCTCACCAGCACTTCAACACACATGAGTTAGCTCCTCACTCTCGAAAACACAATTACAATTATGTCACATCAGATGAAATCTAGACATACTTAGGAATTGTGTTCATGACAGGAATCGACAAACGCCCTGAAATTGAAGAATATTTGTCCACTAGGCCCCTATTTCACACCCATGGTATGGACAAAACATGTCTTTGCGGTTGAATAGTTTCATTCTATTCAAAAAGAACACAACAAACGAAAAATACAAGAAGAGAAATTACAGATTCAAAGATTTTATATTGGACTGTGTAGAAAAATGACTGAACCAAACAAACAGTGTGGAGAGGGAGAAAAGTCAAGGAATGAAGTGGATGACGAATCTATTGGGTCCGACTAGAGTGCAGTCACGCCTCCGCCCTCGACCTTGAAAAGACCACCAGTGAAAGAGCCAGCAAATCGTCTAGAGGGTGGCTTGAAAATTCACAAAATGGTCCATGTTCCTAACAGTAACAATAAGAAGAATGGTGCCCTGAGAAAGTGTCGCGTGAGTGCTAATCACAAGGTTAGAAAAGAAACAAGTATCATGTGTGCAGGCTGTGGTGTGGCTCTCTGCAAACTTTCATGTTTCAATGTTTATCACACGAAGAAAAACAAATAAAGAGGTGTGGAAAAGCATTTATTGCATAAAATATTGTATTTTAATTAGTTCCTAAAAATTTCGTTTTTAAAAACCAATTTTTGTTGAAGTTGTTTAGGAAAAAGTAACAACATGCATTTTAGCGACATAAGGTTTAAAGGGCCTGCCAGGACAGGGGTGGGATTTAAATACCCTTCGCGCCAGTCAAAGAGTTAATAATATTATGTTTCAGCATCTAGTTGCATTAATATCTCACTCGCTCAATTCCGTCTATAAATGCAAACAACTTTTCTTATTTTAAATGTTACATAAAATTACATTTAAAATAAAAAATTTCTTCAGAATGTCATTCGCTACTACATGTTTCAGACTTACGAGACCATCATCAGGCAACTATTAACTGAAGGCATCACTACACTGCATTGGCTCGCACGTCATTATTAACATGCTGCTACTGCATGTCATCATATTCGAGAATGTACACTTGTACTTTCTTCATGCTATTTGTATGTTGCGGTGTTCATATTCTTTAATGTGTAATACATGAGTATTAATGGCACGTTTATTATAATTCTGTACAATTTTCTCCTATATACAGGGTTATTCAAAAAGAATGAACCTATTTTATTACGCAATATTTTATTTAAGGAAAGTAATACAAAACTCCAGCCAAGTCACAAGTATTCTACTCACAATCAACTTTTATTTCCTGTCTTACAAGTGTTCAATGTGGTCACCACCTGCAGCATGGGCAACATGAATGCGATAAGAGAATTCCTCCCAGGCGCGTATCAGCATATCACGAAGCACTGAGTTAATCGCTGTTGGTATTCGATGTTTAAGGTGATTGAGGTTAGTGGGTAGCGGTGGAACATAAACGTGATCTTTTAAATATCTCCACAAGAAGAAATCACATGCGGTGAGGTCTGGGGATCTCACAGGCCAAGCACAAAGAGCAAGGTCTTTGGCCCCCTTCCAACCAATCCATTGCTGGGTCAATTTTCATTTAAAAAAGCTCGAACCATCAGGTGCCAATGGGGCGGTGCTCCATCTTGTTGAAAAATGAAGTCATGCGAATCTGCTTGCAGTGAAGTGAAGAGCCAGTTTTGGAGCATATCGAGATAGGTTTGTCCTGTAACGGTGTTTCCTTCAAAGAAAAAGGGACCATAAACCTTGTCCTGAGACACAGCACAGAAGACGTTCACTTTAGGGGAATCTCTTTCATGCTCAACTGTTTCATGTGGGTGCTCTGTTCCCCAAATACGCACATTGTGACGATTGACTGTGCCGCTCAAGTGAAAAGTCGTTTTATCACTAAAAATTAAACGTGAAATGAAGGTTTCATCTCCAGCATCGAATTGCAAAATTCCATCCGCTTCCCTTTGTCATCATTGGTAAGTGCCTGAATGAGCTGCAGTCTGTATGGTTTCAAATGTAGACGTACCATTAGCACACACCAGACAGTGGATCGAGGGATCGCAAGCTTACGGCTAGCTCCTTCCGTGGGCTCCTCTCAGACGCAGCACGGATTCTCGCCACTTGTTCCTCCTAGACTTGTGGTCGTCCTGGACATTTTCCTTTACACAGACACCCACTCTCTTGAACTGTCGAAACCACCGTCGAATGTTCTTAGGACAGGGAGGATTAATGCTGAATCGCCTTCAAAAAGCACGCTGCACTGTGACAACCGAATTTGTTTTTGCGAACTCGAGAATGCAGAATGCCTTTTGCGGAGGACTCGCCATTGCAAGGTAAACGAACAACTGAACGTTGCCGGAAGAATGACACGACTTCAGTGCCCCTGTGGCAGACATTCACAACTTAGATNTTCTTCAACCCTGAAGATGGGGGCGATACGTTCCTCCGAAACGTCGGTTAACACCACATATACACGGTGCCAAATCCCAGAAGACTGCTTTCTTCATAGTCACCGCCATGAAAGCCTCAAATCTTACATGTACTTGTATGTTTCTTGTGCGTGGTTTTCCTTGTGTGTCCCTTGTATTGATTTGTTGATGTATTTACTCTTGCTTTTATATCTTTTGGTGGTATGCGTGCTGCTGTCTGTTGTAGAGTTCATGTATTATCTGAAATATGGAATTGTTTGTGTTATTCATGTGTAAGTTATTTCTACTAATTTTATAAATGTGATATTTTTCAAATGTCTGCCCTTACTTCTTTTCCTCCGGAAGAATATCGCATTTATAAAATCAGTAGAAATAACTTACACACACACACACTCACACACATACTGACACACACAATCCTATATTGCAGATAATACATGAACTCAACAACAGACAGCATCACACACACACACCACCAAAAAGATATAAAAGTGAGAACAAATACATCAACAAATCAATACAAGGAACACATGTGTGACCTAGGAAAACCATGCACAAGGAACATGTAAGTACATAGTAACACACATACAGGTATACCTAGGAGAAAATTGTACAGAATTATAATATACCTGCCATTAACACTCTTGTATTATACATTACAGAATATGAACACCGCATGAAGACAGTGCAAGCGTACATGCTCGAATATGACGACATGCAGTAGCAGCATGTTAATCATGATGTGTGAGCCCATGTGATGCCTTCAGTTAATAGTTGCCTGATGATGGCCTCATAAGGCTGAAACATGTAGCAGTGATTGATATTTTAAAGATATTGTATGAATTTTAAATCTAATTTTAAGTGACATTTAGAGTAAAAAGTTGTGTTTATGTTTATAGAGGAAAATGAGTGAGATATTAACTTCTGTTAATACAAAGTGTTATATATGTTTAAGGTTAAGGAATGTTTAATCAGTGGTATTGTGGGTAATCAAATTTTGGATACCAGACTTCAAATTAATTTTTTAAGTGTCATGAAGGAACTGTGAGCCATTATAGCTCAGTTGGTATAGTGACTAGGCTACAGGCTGGATGACCAAGGAGTCAGGGTTCAGTTCCTGGCAGGGACAAGAGTTTTTATTTTCTCTATAATGTCCAGGCTAGTTCTGGTACCCAACCAGCCTCCTATGATACAGCTATAGGGTGAGGGGGGGACCGTTTCCTAAGGGGGGTAATGTGGCGGGGACATGAAGCAGACCGCTCACCTGCATCTAGTGCCAAGGTTTAAGAATTTTGGGGCTGTACCTCTCCACCCCCACATGTCTTCAAGGTATGGTGCTTAATTAATTAAGCCCAGGGATAGCTGCACCTGTAGTATGAAACAGCTCTGCTGCTGACTGGGAAGTTTAATTTTCAGAAAGACCAACGATTTTAAAAATTGTTGTTAGATAAATGGTGTTTATGCTTTGCATTAATATTTGCAAGATTTGTTGCATATTTTAAAATAATTTTCAGCTTCAGAGTGTTTCAGAGTTTATGCATATTTCACTCTTTGAACATTCCCAGGCATTTGAATTGTAATTGTTTGACTGTGGTATACAAAATATCTTATAACTATCTGAGATTCCTTTTCATTCTGAGTAGGCAGGATGTTGTTATTATTTCACGTAAATAAATATGTATATTAATTGTGTAGCTAACTTTTGAATGAAATTAAATGTTATCAAGTTTAGGTGTGTATTGAGCATGAAGTTACGAATACTCGATTCTAGTCATACTTATAAAATGTACTGTGACATCTATGTTACTTAATGTAGATAACATGCTATTTTATTTCTGTGCCCAGAAATCCTTTGGATCAGGCTGTGAGGTTTGTACTGTTTGCACATTCAAGATCATCCTTTCTGTACTTCCTTGTGACTGTGACTGCTGTTTGCTTTGGTGTGCTGTTATTTCCTCATCTTTCTTACCCTCTCTAGATGTGCATTTCAGGAGCTGTACTGCCTGGAATACTGCTGCATACTGCCCAAGGCTGAAACTAAGTTTCTACCTTATCCCATAGCAATACACCCCAGCTCCAGTGCGTTATTTTGTCTTGGAACCATCTGTATACCAGATTGGTCCCCCCCCCCTTTCTCCATTCACTTCTCTCAGGGAATCTGATTGTGAAAGGTTTATAATAGACATGGCTCGGTATCATTTTATCAGTTCCCATCAATAACTTTTCTATGCATGTTACCACATTATTCATTGCAATTTCAGTAGATTTGCCTATTTGGTAAGCATGTTGGTTTCTGTGTAGAGGATAAATCTTCAGTGCACCGGCCCTAATGTGCTTGTCCACTAGTTTCTCCACTGTTTTCAAAAGGAAAGACAACAGGTTCAAAAGGAAAGACAACAGGCTGACAGGAGGATAAGCCTTAGTCTCGTTATAATCAAGTTTCCTGGGCTTCAGGCACTTTAACGTGCCTATAGGGATAAATCCACACCCCACGTCGGCTCTAAATATGCTGCACAGGTGTGCGACTAAGTGTTCCACCCCTTGCTGCAAAAGTGCCAGTATGATTCCATCTGTTCCAGCATACTTAAATGGTTTGAAGGTGCCTAGCAGCCATTTAATTTTTGATTGATTTATTTATGGCCAGGTTCCAGTCTCCCCTGTTTGTTATGTATCCGCACATGCCCAGGTTCTACTGACCTTGTCCATCATCATATGAATCATCAGTCAGCTTTGAATCAGGAAAGTGAACTCTGAACAACTCTTTTAGTGTCTCCTTTCCAGTTTAAGTATAGTGACCATCTTTTTACTGATATTATTGATGTTGTAATTGGATGGTATATTGTGTTAAAATAGCACTTCATTGCCATTGTCTTGAAGTTTGATGGCAACTTCTAAGGTGAAGTTCCACTGCATCAATTGTACAGCCACCCAGTGCTGAATGTAAATTTCTGCTGGTCTTTAATTTAAAGGTGTTGCTCCAAGCTTGACTTCCATTCTGTCTTTGAATCCAAGCAAGAGTATTTACATAGAGCTGGAATACTTTCCTTTGTTGTTTCCACCTTTGGATGTTTCCTCTGGAGACACTGTATGTTCTTGATACTTCACGGATGTTTGTTCTGCACATTGCATCACAATATTTTAAAAGCATGAATCAGATCTGCATGCCTGACACATTATTCCATTTCACACTGTTACCTCTTTTCCCGACATGGCCAGTCATTGTTATACTGCTAGCACAGAATGTTATGATGTTAAATTACTGTGATTGTTTCATAACATAGGTGGTTCTTCAGGCAGCCTCATGGTCTCTGATCTTGAAACATACTTCTGTTTCTCACCATTTTGTTTGATACCCTTGTAATATGATATTGCAAATTTTTATACAATCCAGCCGAAACTTAATGTGATTGAAAGCATCTTATATACATGTATATATATTTATTTAGAACTTACATTTCATGATCAGTAGTTCAGTGATTCTGGTAAGAGGAGAAGAAAGCCTCAGCTTCCATTCAGACAGATGTGGTACTGAAACGTGTTGACATCCAACCCCAGATGCACAAATAAAAAGCAGTTATCAGAAAATTCTCGAAGTTTGAGACAAAGAAGTTGGAAGTTTGTAATGAGATTGAGGAATTTTCCCCATCTCGATCTTGAAAATTTGATATTTGCAGAAGTTTAGATTAGAATCCCTACATTCTCTCTCATTCCTCTGTCTGTCTCCACACGTTTTGAGCCCTCTCTTCATCCTCATTTTTTAGTTCTTTTTTAATTGTAATTTAAATAGGTTAGCGCCTCTCCACCGTTTCCCATTCTTACGTATGGCTATTCCAACAAAGATTGTCTTATGTCACTTACTTGACAGCACATCTGTGTCAGTTTCTGTTTGCACTGAAGTTTACATGAGCAGTCAATGATTTCAGCGTAGAATCAGATCTGTATGCTTCAGCTATTCAGTAATGATGTGGCACAAAATTCAGTCCCTGTCAAAGACACGATGAAAAAATAATTCTGGAAAACACAGATATCATAATGACATTTTACCTTGGACACAAAAATATAATGTGCTGCAATATAATACACCCAAATGTCACATGCTTCAGAATATAAAATGTACGCCAGTTTTGAGAGGATAATAAGAGAAATATGCATATACAGGTGTCCCAGGAGGAATGTGCCAAACTTCGGGAGGGTGTTCCTTATGTTAAAGTATGCCGATATAACCCAAAACACCTATGTCCAAAGTTGAACGGTTACGGAGATAATGGCCAGAGAAGTGTCAAACTTTGACCGGGGTTACACACTTGTTGATTACAAAATAGATATTAAAACTGGCAGGAATATGTGGATTCTGTAACGTTAATAATGTACGTAACATCAAACTAACTTGTGAGTGACATGAAGCCATAAAATTGAAGTACAAAAAACTCGCATGCCATCTCAAAGTTGTCGTTAAGAGTTCCAAGCACTGTACATGACACATGAATGGTAAGCGATGACGTAACGTGCTGACTGCGCGTTCTGATAAAGCCAACTCCATAAGCACGGATAGGATGAATCACGGCAGTCAAGGACAAACAGAGATAATTCCTCTCAGCTGATAGGTATAATCCGTGGACCCGCTAGAAGACCACACTTTTCTCGGGCCATTATCTCCGTAACCGTTCAACTTTGGACATAGGTGTTTTGGGTTATATCGGCATACTTTAACATAAGGAACACCCTCCCGAAGTTTGGCACATTCCTCCTGGGACACCCTGTATTTATGAAATTTGTTGGAAATGGCTGTTAGTCTATTAAACTTTCTTGGCTGCCTCATTTTTGTGTGCATTTCCACTTTCTTATTTTGTGCATTGTCAGAGAAAAGGGTCTCTGAATTCCAGGTTAATTAATACATAGTGACATTTTTGGTATCACTTTGTAGTAAAATAGCTATCAGAATTGAAGATGCTTAATTTTACTGAAGGGCCTGTTTTTATGAAGTATTTTGAGAGAGGCAATTGTGTGTTGTATTCACATAAATATAGCAGCCAGGAAGATTAGACATTTGGTAACCATCATGCAGCAGCATTAGAATCCATATTCAAAACAAAATTTAATGCCCATTTGAGAGGTTAATATTTTACTAATATTATTTACTCTTCCTGTTACAGTCCTTGATGAGCGACTTAGAGAAACGCGAGATCCAGTTTAGTGCAGTTCAGGACCGTGGAGAATCTCTTGTTTTGCAGCACCATCCAGCTGCAAAGTGCATTGAAGCATACATGGCTGCAATGCAGACACAGTGGGCATGGCTGCTACAGCTGACACTATGTTTGGAGACACATCTCAAGCATGCTTCCAACTACTATCAGTTCTATCGGGAAGTGCGCGAGGCTGAGGAATGGATTACAAAGTATGTTCTGTCAGAGATGTGTGTAGCTGGAAAATGTGTCTTTACGGGGTTCACACGTAGAAGTGAATTTAGAGCACTAGTGATACTCACAAAACTGTCTGTCAACAGATTGGGTACTTCTTGCATGTTTAACTATTAAGTAAGGTCTACTTTAATAGTACTTTCCACTGAGTAAGTAAAGTACATAAGTAAGGAATGCTATCCCTGTAACAGGCCATGGAGGCCCATAAGGGTGTGAGATGTTTAGGTTCCCACATTTTCTAGGCAATCAGCTCATAGATAGTGGCAAGGTTGTCAGTCCTACGCGCCGGCTGCCCTGTACCCCCAAGAATATTCTAAGAATATTCCTGGTACTCATTTCTGTCAGAAGCTGAGTCGACCCCAGGGTCATAGTGCAGCCGGAAGGATTAGGTCAATTGAAAAAAATCCAGTGACCTCATCAGGACTTGAACCCGTGACCTTTCGGCTTGTAGCATAGTGCCTCAACGAACTATGCTACTGCGTACCTTCAACCACCACTGAGTAGCTTGGTGTAATACAGGTACTCAGAACTTGTGTCCAGAATTTTCCTGATTGAAATCATGGCTGGTCTATTGGCTATCCTGACTGAGGTTTTCATTGTTTTGCTTGTCTCTCCAAATGATTTTGACATAATACCTTAAAACAGGCCATGAGTACCTCCTTTCAAACTGAATCATTCAGCATTCATGTTCATAATTTAATCTGACTGGACACTATATAACCTCTGCATTTAAAAGAGCATTATTACATAACCTAAGAATCAATTACGAGGGTTGGAACTTTAATAGTGGCAACACTATTGTAGAGATGCCATGCAACAGAACCAAATAATGTTGCTTATACCACACGTTAGTTACATACCTACCTTACCTCAGGGCAAATGGACTCCCTTCCCACATCGCAAATATGTGCAGTGACTATCAACACAACAGGTGCTTCTAAAGGTATCCTACGACTTCCACATCGCTTGCAACAGGTTGTACACAATGCTGGTGACTACATTGAAGGCCAGTAAAACTTCAAAATATGCATCTATTTCGTATCAATTGTAAATAAATAGTTGCCACTATTAAAGTTCCAACCCTCATATCTCATCAGGTCCTTAATTGACTGGAAGGAGATCTTTCTTCGAGGTGTTGCAAGTAGAATGTCTTTGTTTCCTGCTTCATCACGCTGAAAAGTGCTTGTATATAAAAATTATGGTAGAGTTTTCTTCATGAGTTCAGAATTAGTAATCACAGAATGCTCTGACGGATGTGAGTGATGAAATAAAAATGTAGGAATTACAGTATGTGTGTTTTCTTTCTTTTATGTGAGCTTGATGGTACAAGAGATAGAACTGAGGATCTGAAGTGCTTGGAGTCAGCTGTTGACTGTGTACAATTACTTGGTTGAATGTGTTGTTGGTGAATGACATGAGGCTCGACTTTGTTACTTGTGATGTGGTTGTGTTAAGGTCTGACAACTGTATTTTCAGAGTAAGTATTTTTTTGCAGGCGTGATGAACTCATGAACACAATATATAGCCAATCAGATTTCACTTTGGATGAAGGTGAACGCTTACTTCGTGGGATGCAAGAACTCCGAGAGGAGCTGAACCACTATGGCGATGTTGTACAGGGATTGTCAGAGAAGTGCAAAGACATTGTACCTTTAAAGCAACGACGGCAACCTGTGACTAGGCCCCTGCAAGTGCTAGCCATTTGTGCCTACAAACAAGTGAATGTGAGTATAGTTCATTCATATGTGTTGCATGAACTGTAATAGTACTGGGATATATGAACTTTCAGACTGTTGGGTTGAGGTAAAGTACTTTCTTGCTTTGTCTGATTTATGTTGGCTATAAGGTAGAGGCAAGAAATGCATATCTGTAGCACTACTGTTATAAAGGTGACAGAAACTTATGGACTAGCCATGTGAACTTTTCCATTTACTGCACAAAATTCAGTTAATTCAAATAATTACAGCATTGAAAGTTAACTGGCTTGTATAATACAGTGATTCATAACTCAAGATCTGCTAACAGTGGCTTGATTTATCTCAATCTGCTAATTATAGTAGCCAACCAGAAAAATTACTTATTTAATTTTGTTTAAGTAACAAGATATTTTGTGTTGAACATTACTACTTTTTTTTTTATCCTTTCTGAAAAGTTTTATGATTAGTGACGAGAAGAACACATGGAGTTTTGGAGTTAGTCACTGCACCTTTGGAAATAGGGAGGTAGAGCTGTGTTGTCTAAGCTCCAGATCCTTTGAAGAGTGTTGTGTCTGACAAATTATGTAATTTGGAATGTCCAGTATGGACGATTATGACCCATGGAAATTTCCTCACTCTTTTGCCAGCTTATGAGTAATGAAAGGTAGAGAATTGTCTTTGTAGTAGAACCAAATATTTGTTGCTTCCATACAAAGAAATTGCTATGATCAGTGATCACATTGCTTGAAATCACATTATATTAATTTACTGGTTCCTTTATAACATAATTTTAATTATGGAATAATTTCATCCATTTTCACAGGATAGAGTATATTGATTTCAGATGCCTTTGTCTGAACAATTTGTAGATTATCTCTGATAAAGAAACCTATTTCATAACAAATTAATTTATTTACCCTCAGGAAATTTAACGTATCTGTTAGGATACAGGTATTTCCCCTGTAAATGAATCACATTGTTACTGCAAAGTGAGAAAAATTTTTAGGAGTTGGCCATTACTGGTTACCAAAACTCAACTTCTCTTGCACCCAAAGGAGAAGTGATTAATACTGATTAATTCATAGCAGCTGCCACGATCATTGAATGGATTATGGATGTGTGTTAATGTGAAGGAACTACTGTTCTGTTCATGTAAGTGGTGGCCAAAGAGCACCAGTTGCACAGTACATATTGAGTTTAAACAATAAATATGTTAGGTGGTAACATTGCACTACATTGCTTTTAAGTGATATACTGCATAGAACATGTTCTAATATGTAATTTCACCAATTTGGTCTTGGTACAGCCTCAAGACAAATCCATAATCAAACATAAAATTGAATGCAGTATGTATTGCTTTCTCAGTACATCATCATGCATACAGAGAGCCACTCCTGGCAAACTGTTGAAACACAGTGATGCAGCTGACTTTCACTTTTGTCTTTGAACAGATTGTGATTGAAAAGGGTGAGCAGTGCATTCTGCATGACAACTCTGGACGTGTGAAGTGGCGAGTGTCAAACTCCTCAGGTGTTGAGAGTTCAGTGCCTGGAGCATGTTTCCTTATACCTCCACCTGATAAAGAAGCATTAGATGCTATTGAAAGGCTGAAGAGGCAGTTTGACCGTTCCATTGCTCTCTGGCAGAAGAAGCAGCTCCGTATGAGGCAGAACATGATCTTTGCCACAATCAAAGTTGTCAAAAGCTGGGATCTCGCTCAGGTAAAGTTGTCATTCTGCAGGCTTTTCCAGGGTTTTCAAATGCTGAGTTTTAAAAAAAATGATTTGTGCTTTTTTATTTTACATGGTGTGTTCAAGTTCTAAGGTCTCCGATTTTTTTCTCACACAATAGTCATACAAAGAATTTGAAACTTCTGTCACTTTTCAATGTAATCTCCCTGCAGCCGTACACATTTTTCACAATGTCGACGCCATAATTCCATGGCCACTGCAGACACTTCTGTAGGAGTCTGTTTTGACCACTGAAAAATCGCTGATGCAATAGCGGCACGACTGGTGAATGTGCGACCATGGAGAGTGTCTTTCATCGTTGGGAAAAGCCAAAAATCGCTAGGAGCCAGGTCAGGTGAGTAGGGAGCATGAGAAACCACTTCAAGGTTGTTTTCACGAAGAAACTGCTGTGTCGCGTACGCCCAATGCGCTGGTGCATTGTCCTGGTGAGGGAGCACATGTGCAGCCTTTTCCGGCCGTTTTTCTCGCAGTGCTGGAAGGAGCTTGTTCTTCAAAACATCTTGGTAGAATGCACCTGTCACCATAGTGCCCGTTGGAACGCAATGAGTAAGCATTACGCCATCGCTTTCCCGAAACATGGCCACCATCATTTTTTCAGCACTGGCGCTAACCCAAAATTTTTTTGGTGGCGGTGAGTCTGTGTGCTTCCATTGAGCTGACTGGTGCTTCATTTCAGGATTGAAAAACGGCATCCATGTCTCATCCATTGTCATAATTGATGAAAAGAAAGTCCCATTCATTGCTTCCATCACGTGTCATCATCGCCTGGCAAATTGTCATGCGCGCAGCCTTGTGGTCGTCCGCCAGCATTCGTGGCATCCCTCTGGAGGACACTTTCCGCATTCGCATGTCTTCATGCAGAATTGTGTGCACAGATCCCACAGAAATGCCAACTTTGGAGGCGATGTTTTCCACACTCAATCGGCAATCCTCCAAAACAACTTTCTCAACTCGCTTGACCATGTTGTCAGGCTGGCTGGTGAGAGGCCGAGATTGTTTTGGTTCGTTGTCACACGACGTTTGGCCTGCTTTGAACTGTCGCACCCATGAATGCACCTTTTTAACCTTTAAGAGCCGAGTGACGCCATATGGCGTCATGAAAATAAAGTCAAGGGGGCGAATGACACCATATGTTGTCGCGCAGTCCACGCGTGTGGCCGGCTTTGTAAAATCTAATTTTACGTTATAAACTATTTTTCTACTTACATGATTTTTGGTCACCAGCTTTATGAGTTGTCTCTCTTCCCACCGGCGTCGTCTAACGGAATGTTGGCTTCGTGTGGAAATCTTGGAAACATCCGGAAATGCAGAGTCCCACATCACACTTCACGCACTTTATCCGGACGGTTCTTTGTTTCCCACGCGAAGAGCACACTCGACACCTCAATTTCGAAGTAGAGGAAGTCGGCCAGTGCTGTTGTTTGGCCTCTATTCGAAATGACCCCAATGAAACGGCAGGGGTTCGACCCCTGGGCCGTTGAGGGTGAGGGGGGCCCCTTCCAGCATGCTCCAGCATGTTCCGCACAAGGGCGAGACGAAATTCTCTGTGTGACAATTTCGCGCCACAGGATGACAACAGGATATAACTGTTCAGAATCGTCAGATCCAGGAGATGGAAAAATAATTTAT